GCAATGCGAAACGCACGCGGCGACGTGCGCGCGGCGCTCTCTCCAGGAGGCCGCGCAACGTGAGCCCCCGCGCAAACGGCGCGGAGATTCGGGGCCTGGTTGTTGGAATGTGCGCGCGCGTGCGCGCGCCTCGCCTGCCGCGCGGCAAAGAGGCCAGTGGCGCCGCGTGCAATGAAACGCACCGCGCGGCGCGGGGGCCACGGTGAACCGCGTTGTCGGCGAGCGATGGCGCGCGCAAAACTCAAGAACAAATCACCGTCACCCCCGTCGCAAAGCGGAAGGCGATTTCCGATGATTTACCATGTGGGCCAAGGCCGCAGACCCGCGGCGTCGCAAGACCGACGCCGAAGACTAGCACCGAGGTCGAATGCCGACGCGCATCGCGAGGCGCATCGGCGCAACCAAACACGCAATACTTCTAAAAAAAAACTACGCCTTCAAGCGCCGCCAAAGCTGGGACTACGGAACCACTGCTGAAACCAAACATAATTCAAAAAAGCAATGTGACCAAATAACTTCCACGCCACCACGCAGACGGATTTCCGTTTCAGTCGCCCCCCCCTGCCCCCTCCGGGGACATTCCTCCAAGCGACCCCCTTCTCTGACCCCCGGGGGGGCCCGAGGGGCGGCCAGGATGCATGTAGCATGCGTCAGAATCACCGTGCAGCAGTGCGCCCTCCAGCGCAGCAGCGCACCCTCCAGCCCCAGCTACCGCCCCCGAGGCTCCTGGGGGATAAGGATAATTCTTCCGATGTCGAGAAGCGCCCACCCTGAATGACGAGTGCCGAGCGGGCCTGCCAATCAGACGAGGCACCGACGCAACGCGGATCAACCCTGCTCGTTCCCTTGCATCATGCAGGAGCGCAAAAAGAAGGGAAACTTAACTTCCGAGAAAAGTTCCGCGACCACCCTTCGGGCGACAGGCAGGCCGCGGGGGGGGGGGGGGGGGGGGGGCAACAACTGGCTAAATCGATCTCATCGTCGATCTCACTCAACGGGACACCGCGGGACGCCGCGGAACGCTTGTCCATCTCACTATTGATCGCACGGTCGATCTCACGATCGATCTCGCTCAACGGAGCTCCGCGGGACACCGCGGGCCACCACGGGCCGCCACGGGACACCGCGGGGCACCTCTCGATCTCACGATCGGTCTCACTATCGATCCCACGATCGATCTCGCTCAACGGGACACCATCGAACAACGCGAGACACCGCGGGACACCATGGGACACCTCGGGGCACCACATCGATCTCACTACCGATCTCACTAGCAATCTCACGATCGATCTCACTCGATGGGGCACCACGGGAAACCACGGGGCACCTGCCGATCTCACGACCGATCCCGCAATCGATCCCGACCGACACCAAGAGAACCCTGTCGATCTCAATATCGACCCTACTATCGATCTCAGCTTTTGGGAGACCACGGGCCGCCGCGGGACACCTCGGGGCGCCGCGTCGATCTCATGATCGATCTCACTTTGATCGCCCCTCGCTCAACGGGGCACCGCGGGGCGCCGCGGGGCGCGGCGGGGCGCCGCGGGGCGCCGCGAGCCACCGCCGGGCGGGCGGGCGGACGGGCGGGCGGGGATATCATATATGTCTTCCGTTCACCCTGGCGACGGCGGACAGCGCGGGGCGCCGCGGGGCGTCGCGGGGCGCCGCGGGCCGCCGCCTGACGGTCGGGCGGGGGAGGATCGTGCATGTCTTGACTTCGCCCTGGCAACGGCGGACAGCCCGGGGCGCCGCGGGGCACCGCGAGCCAACGCCAGACGGGCGGGCGGGATCGGGGAATCATGCGTCTTGACTTCGCCCCCGCAACGGCGGTTTCATTCCTCTCGCGCGCCCGCGCAACTTCGCCTCGCCCGCGCGCGCGACTCGAACGAAACGAAACGATTTCCCGGTTGGGGGTCTCCGTTCCGCTGCGACCCCCCACCCTCGCCTCCGATAGCGACAGTGCGTTAATGGGGGAGATCTGCGCTCGACGTCAGCCAGACAGTGAATCAGTCAGTCCCGCAGAAAGCACCTGCGCGGGCGCAGCGGGCGGGCGCCGGGGCGCCCATGTTGGCCGCTCCGACGCTGGCATCGGGGCCCGTGGGCCGCTGGGGTCGGAAGGGCGAAATCGAGCGTCGGAGCCGGAGTCGGGGAGAAAATAAAAGTTGGGGCCGAGGGGGCGAGTCGACTCGGGGCCGCAATCGGAAAGATACGAGCCGGAGTTGGCGCGAGGTCGAAGCCGGGGTCGGAGATCGGGGCGCGACGAAGAGGCGCCGGAGCATGACTGATGATAACCTACGAGATCGAGGCTGGATCTGGAGAGCGCAGAGGTCAAGAGGGGCCGGACTCGGAGAGACGGCGCTGGCATCTGAGCTGGAATCGGAAAGATACAAGCTAGAAGCGGCGAGGTCGGAGTCGGTATCGGAAAAACAAACCCAAAACAACCGGGCTGGAGTCGGTCGGATCGGAGCGGGAGTCGGAGAGGCAACTTGAATCGGAGAAACGGGAGCCAGAGTTGGTGAACGCGAGAACTGGCGTCGGAATCGGGAGCCGGGGGCGCGGGCGCCAGGGTCGGCGGAGGCGGGATGAAAGCCGCAGGCGTGGGGCCCAGAATCGCGGCGGCGAGCTCAGCCTGGTTCCGCGGGCGCTAAGCGCGGTTGAGGTCTGCGCGCGAACTTTTCTTCGAGAGCGCCCCATGCCGTCGTGGAAGCAATTGGGGTTACTTGCGCGGGCGCAGTGGATGATAGACAGGACGACGACGTCATGTAACCTGATCAGATTGTCGCAGTCGTTCCGTCGTCGCGCAGCGCGCGCACGTACTGTCGCCAATCGTGAATCCACTGTTTTGAACCATTTCAAGCAGTCCTCCGCGGCACGCGTGGATCGTCGGACCCGCCCGTGGTTCTTCAACGGCGCATTTCGTGGGGGAAAACGAAGCGGCGTCGTCGTCGTCGTTCTCGTCGCCAGGAGGACGCTGCTTCGTCGATTCGGCGGCTTTGGTCGCGCGGCGCGGCTCGGCGCGGCGCATGTGCCTCTGAGTCTTCTGTGCTCATTGCTCGAATTGTTCTGTCTTGGCCCACGCTTCGCAACCGTTGGGCCGATCGCCCCATGGAAAAGTCTGGGCCGCCCCCTGGGAGAGTTGCGTTTGTTTTTGAGTTCAGATTTCAGCGCGTGGAACTTTCGCCACGCAGCTGCGATGCGGTTCTCTATATCGATTCCATGGTACCCGTCGAACTGCACTGTCCGCCCCAAATACTTGGCGCCCTGACGAGGCGGCATGATCTCTAGAATCACGCCGCTGACGTCAACACGCGTCGGTGGCAGTCGTGCTCTGGATAATCGGCGCCCGCCGGGCAGAATCTTCGTCGTGTCCGGGCGGAGGCAAAGCCTCATCTATTCTGCGTCGAAACTGAGGTCCCCTAACATTGCTTTGACATGGCCAAGGGTTCTGGCGACTAGACGAATGTCGTCGGCAAAGCGTAGATTCGTGAGGCGATCGTTGGTGGGAATTTCTAAACAAATACACGAGATCTTTATGGTCCATGCTCGCTTGGCCCGCCACAACACGCGCTCGGAAACGCAAGCGAACGACGAACTCAACTGGTCGCCTTGTTCTGTCCCGCGTTGAATTTCAAAGGGTCGGCCATTGCGCGGGGAGGGCGAAGGTCGGGGGCCGGAGCCGGGGGGGGGCATGCGACGATCATGCGCTTGAGTTCGCATCAGACCTCAAATGCATCAGGTTGAACATGTTGTCGCAGAACTTGAAATTGCACATGTGGTTCCAGCAACTGATCATCCGCGGCACGCGCAGTCGAAACCTCATTGCTTTCAGAAACGGGCGCCTAAGATCGACCGCGACAGACTGGGGCCTGCGCAGGAAGCCCTTCGGGGACCCCATCGGCCTCTGAAGGACAGATTTGCGATGCATCTTGGATCGAGGTTGCACTCTCCTTGCATTTGGAAGTGGTCCGAGGGGTCACGGGGAAATGCCTGGACGTTGGGCGTGGGGGACTGCGGTGATTCTTGTAGTACCGATTTCCGATTCATCAGCACCGCTGGTGGGAGAGTCGCAACAATCCAAGCCCGGCGTACGGCGCTTGGTGGCGCATCTGCGGAGGCACCGCTGTAGGGCCGTCGTCCTCCACAACGGCTGTGTGGAACTTCGGGTTGGGCCTAAGGCGCGTTGAGCTGACGGGGATAAGCAGAAGTAAGTATGATGGCGCTGGGGTCGGAAGTACGTGCCGGAGTCGATGCAACATGTCCTTGCTGAGAATGATCTGATGCAGGTAGCTGCCCTCTGCGTCCTGCCGGCGCACCGGGCGAAGAGAGTCCTGAAACGTGGAAGGGTGCCACAAACAAGTGTGTGATTTTCGTGTCGTCGTCAAAATTCTGGCACAAACCCATGCGTTTACTTTCGGAACCGTCTGCCTTACAAGTCACTGACGGTGTCGGGGTCCGGTTTGTTTATGGGACAGAAAAACATCTAACGAAAATTCAACCTCCTTCTCGGCTGACTTACCTAAGTTGGCCATATGCCACTTACCGTTTTCGTCATACCAAACAACTGAACATTCAAGGTCACCATCCGCTTTGCCCGTAATACTATCGCACTGTTGTTCTTGTTTGGCCTGTTGTACTATGTGGTTTGTTGTATACCCCAATCGGTTGTCGTCAAAATCCTCCACCTTGGTTTGGTTGTTCTTGTAAGTATACATTATATTTGTGTATATATATATATATATATATACTCCTGCAGTTTGAGAGCCGACGCGCCGCCCCTACGGCGCCCGAGGCGGGAAAGGAAGCACTGGCCGGAGATGACGACGCGCCTGCATTGGAACAGGTACTGGCACGGTGTGGAAGGAAACCATGTTCATCTTGGAGAGAGAATCGCACGTGTTCACTTGTATGTTGCTGGTGCTTTCCAAGATCTGCGATGGAATCCCCTCCAACTTCTTGACTCAATCATATGTAGGTAAGGGGTCTCTTGAAGCCTGATGCTACCGCTGCTTTTCTGTGTTTTCCAGATCGTTTGTGTTCTGGACGGTCACGGGGTTGAGGCCGCACTTGTCCTGAGATGTCTCGAAATCTGGCATACTGTTACCGGTGACCTGCTCGAATTGGCTATTGGTCAAGTGCATCCCTTCGAGGTCGTTCCTGATACTGACCACCTCCATGTCCACCTCGGCCATATCATCTTGAATCTCCTCTGCTGCCCTCCTGGCATCCTGCGCCTCGGTCCTCGCCTGATCGATGATGTCCTTGACTCCGTTCAGGTCGCTCGTGATGCCGTTGGTTCGTTTCCATATGCGAGCGTCGAATTCCATTGTGGAGAACTTCTGCGGCCACGATTCCGGTGTTCTACCCATGACGTTCTGGACATATATACTACGGGAGACTCAAGCAAAAAAACACTTTGAAAAAGATCCGCCCTCCACTTGCAAGATTGGGAACTGCTGGTCATAGAGTTTCAGGGAGTTCACACACAGCTGAAAACGAAGTGGCCCTCATCCTTATACCTGATGGAACCTCTTGGATCGAACGTTCGCGGGGCGAAAAGCGCGAACCAAAAAAGGGAAAATACAGAAATCCCCCCATCCTTGAATCTACTGGCAACTGTTATGCCAAATGTGCGGGGCATTGAGGTGAGCCGCATTTGAAACGAACCAGCCTCCATCCGTGTAGCTGTTGGTGTCTGTGAGGACGATTCTGCGCGGCGCCAAGACGAGAGCAAGATATTTGGAAACCATTGCTCCTCCATCCTTGTGGCTGCTTAAGGGTATCTTGCTTCAAAACGGCGCATTGCAAAGAAATGTCAAGTCAAGCGCCCAACCGGGCCCATGGACACATCTGGTGGTGAGGTGGAAGGACGAAGGTCGAGAGCCGAGAACGAGGGTTACTGAGTACGTGCACCGTGGCGCTCCGCGACAGCGTGCTCTTAGGGTTCAACACTCAGAGATACGAACTTGTCGGCCCAGCGCGTGACGGGCCAGCCGCTGCTCCCCGAAACCATCCGGCTGCCACCGAAGCGCCCGTTTGGCCCAGCGTTCGCTGCTCATCGACTCGACGCGTAGGCCCCACTGGAGTTGCCGCGGGCTTCCTTTCGATAAACCAAGGTGCGATAGGGCAGGGAGCTGTTGATTCAGACTATGCCTGGCGGTGAAGGAATACGAGGACGACGACGACGACGAGCCATCAGACGAGCAAAATTACCCTTCGGAGGTCCGCGCGGATTTCTTGAATTGGCTCTGGACCATCATTCCTCGCGCGGGGCGCGCCGAGGGCGGCGCCAGTGGCGCCGCCAGGGGAATCTCTGCGCCGATCCAGGAAATCCGCGCGGACCTGCATCCCTATGTTTATGTGTCTTCTTCTTCGACCCCGGGGTCGCCACCGCAGGCGACGCGCGCCAAGACGAAAAAGGGCGACGAGGCGAGAGGAGAAGGGACGAGGAGGAGAAGAAGGGGGAGGGGGCGGGGAGGGGAAGAGGAGGGGAGGAGGGGGAGGAAGAGGAGGAGGAGGAAGCAATGGCATGCGTGTGAGACAAGCCGGCAGTGGCAACAAGATGGGTACCACAAATCATGGACCACAGGCGTGGTCCAGCGCGTGCGAGAAGGGCCGGCAGCGGAGCAGGAAGAGAGGCACCGCGGGCAGTGCGCGGCAAACCGAAGCGCTCTCTGGTCGTAGAGCCAAGGGATAGCTGTCATAGCCGTGAAAGGCATAGATCGAGAGAGCGAAAGGGAGGACGACGACGGGGGAACGAGGGGAGGTTCATGCCAGCTTATGCAATGCTGCTCTTCGAGATGGTGTCGTCGTGGAACGCCGGCCGGCCTGCCGTGGCTTTGGCCGGGCCACCTCCCCCGGCGGCAGGGCGGCGCCTGCCACCAGCGACACGGAGGCCAGGCGCTCGGGGTCCAGGCCCGCGAGGGCCCCGTGCGCCGCCGCAGAGGTGGAGACGTACACCACCGGCGCGGCGGCATGCCCGGGCGGCTCGGACTCTGAAGCTCGGGTGCCCCGACGGGGGTTGCCAAAGGTGTCCCTGGCCCAAGGTGCCCCCAGCTCCTCGCTTTGGAGCCCAGGGCCCTCTGGGACTCGTGAGGGGTGCTCTGGAGGCCGTGGTGGCCTCCTCCGAGATCCTGGGTGCCGTAAGACGAAGCCAAGACGAAGGTAAAATCGGGTGAGGATAAATCGAGGACCTCTCAGCTCCGGCGGCTCTGGAGGATCGCTCGGGCGCCGCGGACTGCTTCCCGGAACGCTGGACAGATCTGGAACAGATGTTTGGGAGTTCGGGCCGTTGCTGGCCTCGGGGAGCCCGCTCCAGGCCTGGGGGGCCGTCAAGAACGACTCGGGAGTAAGACACGGGGAGGGGTCTAAACCTCCGGAGTTGAATGCTCTGACGAAGCCAAGGAACGTCAGGGGGGACCACCGATGGCGGCCCAGGCCGCAACCTGCGAAGCGCGACCATATTCGCGCCCCTCAGGATGACCCAGCGTATTAACCACGCCAGACCTCCGGCCGGGCGTGGTCGAGGGTCCGTCCGCGACGAAGGTCTTCAGGCATGTCCTGGCGGATCGGGCTCCCCAGATCTCCGGCGATGCGATCTGCTCAATCCTAGCGGGTTTCCTAGATTTCGGCCCTCGTGTCGCCCCGAGGCCAACAGAAACGGATACTGGACGCAGAACTCCCTCGGAGAAGGGGTTGGGGCTTCTGGGGCTGCGAGTCGAAAAAACCATTATCGGCAGATGTCAGGGTCTGAAGCTCGGGTGCCCCGCAGATGATGGGGAACGTGTGGGGGGGGGGACTGGCTCGGGGGGGAGACATCGAGCTGGAATCGGCGATGCATCGCCGGCTCATCGGCGAAAGGCCCCCGATGGCGAAACCGCACGTTCCTTGGCGGGGTGGGCTATCGGCCCCTATCGGCGATCCTTGGGCGATCGCGGGTCGACGCGTCCTCCCCCGAGCCAATCCCCCAAATGATCCTCACCTTCTAGTTTTCGGCTCGGGCCTCGGCGGTCGTTCGGGACGATTCCGGTACCCATGGGACGACCTCGACGAGGCGCAGCTGATGGAAGCTGCTCAGGCTCTCGAAAGTTTTCGAAGCACGTCCGATGTCTTTCGGAAACTCCCCCCCTCAGCCGATCCTCCATGAACGTTGCGCCAAAGAAGAGGGCCCCCTCCTCGTCGGGGTAGCAGGGCCAGATGCGGGCAGGCGCTCTGTTTTTAGCATCCTTTTCATCACCCCTCAACCCCCTCGTTTCTTCATGTGCCTGCGAAAGTCGGACATTACCGTCGGCTCTGGGAGGTTTCTTCGCGTCGGGATTCTTTTCAGCACCTGCGCCCCTTCGAGACGGTTCCGACGAGGGTGCCTGCCAGAATCGCCCCGATCGGCAACGGGAGGCCCGAGGTTTGGCCCGAAAACTAAGCACTCTGAAAACTGAGCCCCCTCACGTCACGAGAGGATCCAGGCGGGGGGGCTGCCTTGGGCCTCCCGGGGCCATGACCAGGCCCAGACGGCCCGGGGTGACAGAAGCAGTCCCCAGAGAGGGGTGGAGACCTCTGGGGGCCGAGGTTGTGCCAGAGACCACAGCGTCGGAGGTCTGGGCACCCGCAGCAAGTGAGCTCCAATCCTAACCCGTTGGCGGCGTTGGACGGTATCAGCCTCGGATGTGTCACTCCAGTGGGGCATACCAGATGTTGCTGGCGCTGGAGATGCTGCCAGCTCGAAATCGACAAGCCAGGAGGCCAGTCGGTCGAACCAACATCCTCCTCCTCCCGATCCTGTTCCTCTTCTGTCTCCTTCTCCCTCTCCCGCAGATTACAAAAAGTCATGCACCTGGCTGGGCGCAGAACTGCAAGGATCTTTGCAGGGAGTTCCGGTAGACCCTCTGGCCAATAGCCCCAGCTTCAAACTCCAACTGACAGGTGGTGCACCGAAGATTCGTTAACAAACATGCAGGTGCACGTGTTTCAGCAGCTCGGGGCCAGCGCTGGTAGGGCAGCAGCGCGCGCAGAAAGAGATGAAAGACGAAGGGCAGGAGGTGAAGCATAGGTCCGCACCTCGCTGCTACAACCCATACATCTCTGCCTCGCATTCTCGGGGCGAATCCTCCGCGCGCGGCCTCTGCCGCACGCGCCGCTGCCAGACAGAACGACTAATATTGAGCCGATCGCCACACTTGCTGAGTTCCGTTCGCCACCGCTCCCAGAATTCGAAGCTCACGTTTCGCAACTGAAGCAGCTCAGCCCGTGCAATCTCTTGTGCCACAACGCTCTCCCTCTCGCCCTCTCTTTATTTTTGTTTCTCTCTCTCTCTCTTCCTTTCTCCCTCTCTGTCTCTCTGTCTCTGTCTCTCTCTCTCTCTCTCTCTCTATAGAGCGGCCGCTGAAACAGACAACCACAAACCCCAGGCTGACCAGAGCTCTGGGTAAAAAGTGCCAGTACAGGTCGGCCTGGATGCGTCCGGCTGAGGCCCAGACTTCGACCCAGACGTCGACTGCGCTCACCTGCTGTGCGACGACCACATGGACTGTATTGGCGACAAACTGGACAAGACGAAGGGTGAATCCCAGGGTGAGGCGGGCCCGAACGTTGGTTGTGCCGCGGCCGCCTCGTCCCCCTGCGGATACAGGCGCGGCGCGCGGTGTTGACGACGGCGGCTGCCCCACCTCCCTCGTGTCACTTCCTTCCGTCACTGCCGGGTCGGTCATCGCCGCTGCCGTTTCGCCTGCCGCTGCCGTGTCGCCCCCCTCCTTATCAGCCAGGCTGTCGCCGCGATTGGGTCAAGGGGATTTCATCCCCCCCCACCCCTGGCGCGATTTTCGGGGGTCCCTAGAGCGTGCGGTCAAGATGCGTGCCACGGTTACCATGCTAGTGCCAATCTGTCCCACTGGACTCATGGTAAAACTAGAGGCTATCCTAGTTCCACTGACAGCGATGGCCCTCAGGTGGTCCACCTCGTCAGCGTCAGTATCACTAGCCAAGGTGCTAACTTGGAGTGTCTTGAATAAGCTCCGGGATCACTACGGTCCCAACATCATCGCCACCCAAGAAGCCCGAAACCCTGCTGACTGTATCCACCCCTTCGACAGGAGCAGACGATCACCAAAAAGGCGCTTGGATATCTGCCTGGGGGCGCAGTCCCGCGTTTGACCATGCGCAACGTCAAAGCCACGTGGAGGTCCGACCACAGGGTCCGATCCACGGCCGCCAAACACGGCAGCGTCAGCATTTCTGCCCAAGGTGCCCTCGTCGACACCATAGAGCATGACCCGACGGTCGAAGCCCTGCTCGCGGCCACCTGATGGTCTGACGCCGCCTGTCAGCAAACAAGGCCGGTGGCGTACCCTACTTTATGCGTATTGATGCACATGTTGACATAAACTCTTCGACCTTCCTGCCCGACTCGCCAGCTCGCCGACCGCTGCATCCGGATATCCGCGGAAAGTTTCCTGCACTTACCGTCGAAACATTAACTGGGACCGAAAAGCGCCAGGAACAAAAAGGACCCGAATTACGCTCACAAGCACCAGAGAAAAGCAGCTAGTCACAAACTTCGTCCTGCTACGCGACCTCCCAACCAAACAACACCTGGGTCTCCGTGCCTCTCTCAACCTGGAGGCCACCAACCAGCGGGGAGAATCAAGGCAGTCATCCCCCACCCACAGGCCTGCCCAATCATCGGCAGCGATGAAAGACATGCCCTGGGCGACTCGATAGGACAGGCATACCGCCAGCGAGTGATGCCCAATAAAGAGGCTGACTACGTGGACAAGCTAACCGGCATCGCCCATCAAACAGCCCACGACTACCACACCGCGCTTGCCGCCAGATGCCCACTGCAGGACCACAATACACCTGCCGCCAAGCATGGTAAAGCCCCAGTCTTCTAGGAGGGGCACGCTGCCCCGTTGGTCAAGCCAGAACGCGGCACCACCACCCGAACCATCAACAACTTAGAAACACTCTCCAGACAACTGGGCAACGTCAGGAAGAGGCTTGCGACCCACCACCAGCACGTTAGCGAACGCGGTAACAATAACCCCTGCTCGCTAGGCCAGCACTAAAAATCCGCCGACCCCTTGTGGGTCTCGAGGCATGTGAGATCGTTCCCCCCAATAAGCCCCCCCGGGAACCCCAAACCGGCAACTAACCCCCCCCCCCCCCCCCCTTGTCGGATCCGACCCACCCCCGAACTCATCAGGGGGGGGATTGGCTCCCGAGGCTCGCTGTGTAGTTCCAAGGCAGCCCGTCGTGGCCCCCAAGACACCCCCAAGACGGTCCAAGAGAGCACAAAGTCTCCGAATGATCGCTCCAACACGCCCAAGATGGGCCCAGGACTGCCCAAACAACCGCCAAGACACCCCAAAACGCCTCCGGGAGGCCTCCCAGAAAGCCCCCACGACGCCCAAATCGTCAACTTCTAATGGGAAAACGTACATGTTTAGCATATGCGACTTTTCGGCCTTCACGGCGTTGGCGACAATCCAAAAGGCCCCCAAGACCGCCCCACGACGGCCCGAGAGGCTCCCAAGGGGCCTCTAAGACAGCCCCAAAAGGGTCCCGAAGCGGCCCACAACGCCTCCAAGACGGCAGAAAAGTGCCCCAAAACGGTTCGAAGAGTGGCCCAAGAAGGGGACCTCGAACCCATAGTTCCAATTTTCCTCCCGAAAGGGCTCCCAGGAACCCCAAAGATGACCCCCAATAGATCCCAAAAGGCCCCCAACAGGCACCCAAAAACCCCATAATGCCCCGAAAAATATCAAATGAGACCCCCAAAACGGCGTCAACAGCCTTCCAAACTGCCTCCAAGGAGTCAACGAAAAAGGGCCCCGACGAAATCCCAATGGACATCCCATACGCTTCCTACCCACAACCCAAACACTGTGGCGGGGTGGGCCGAAGGCAGCTACACAACGCACGGAGTCCAGCTGTAGCGACGGTGTCGCCCCAGGACGCCCGACCCATCGCCTCTATTTTCACGTACCCCCCCTGCCCCCCCCAACCGTAACGTCGTCCGACTCCCTTCGTAACACATACACCTTTAGCATATGCGACTCATGTCCCTCCCCTGGCCAGCAAACCGAACCATCGTCCAACTCCCTACTCCTCCTCCTCCTCCTCCTCCTCCACTCCTCCACTCCTCCATTCCTCCTCCTCCTCCTCCTCCTCCTCCTCCTCCTCCTCCTCCTCCTCCTCCTCCTCCTCCTCCTCCTCCTCCTTCTCCCACGCCATTTCCTTTTGCATCGCCCCTCCAGAAAGACAAAACGATTCCCGACACATCATTGGGTCAGCGGCGACTGCCACGCTCACCAAGAAGGCGCCGGGTCTGCCCAGGCAACGCGCATCATATAGGGTTTCCATCGGACCCTCTGGCTGGGTCAGCGGTGACCGCCACGCTCGCCAGCCCGAGGTTTCCAGACACAGAGGGCTCGGGAAACGACTCTGCATTGATCGATGGAGACAGAATGATTCCCGACGCCTCATTGGGTCAGTGGCGACTGCCACGCTCACCAATGAGGCCCCGGGGTTGTCGAGATCACACGCATGAGATACGGTGCCCGTCGGGCCCTCTGGCAGGGTCAGCGGCGACCACCACGCTCGCCAGCCAGAAGATTCCAAACACGGACGACGCGGGAAACAAAACTGGATTGATCGACGGAGACAACACGATTCACGACACCTCATTGGGTCAGTGGCGACTGCCACGCTCACCGATGAGACCCCGATGATGTCGAGACCACACGTGTCAAATAGGTGCCCATCGGGCCCTCTGGCTGGGACAGCGGCGACCGCCACGCTCGCCAGCAAAAAGATTCTGGACACAGAAAACTCGGGAACGAGACTGGATTGATGGATAGTGACAGAACGATTCCCGACACCTCCTTGGGTCAGTGGTGACTGCCACGCTCACCAATGAGGCCCGCGGGTTTATCGAGACCACACGCGTCAGATAGGGTGCCCATCGGGCCCGCTGGCTGGGTCAGACAGCCACGCTCGCCAACCAGGAGATTCCTGACACTGAAAACTCGGGTAACAGGACGTTGGTGACCCACGGGAACCACTACTAAGACGACTACTACTAATACTAAAACAACAACAACAAAAATTACTAGCACGTGGGGACACTCCGTTCTCACCAGTGCCAGGGTTTTCATACGACGCCCGCCAATGCCCCCACTTTGTGGGGGGGCCGGTTCAAGCACTACCACATTTCCAAACGACTCTTCGACACCACCCACACCCAGCTTCCCGCCCTATGACGTTCGGACACTTCACTTCGTGGCCTGCGGACGACCGTGGCTACTACACTGGCGCATGGGACTGCCATGCGCCGTGGGAGAAATTTTGAAAATTCGTACAGATGTGTTTCGAGGACCTACGGTGCGATTCGTATGATTTTATGTTGCGCGGTGCTAAAATTCCTAAGAAACCCAATGGTTTTTGAAGATTTCGGCGTGCGCGCGCGAAGAAAAAACGAATGTGTCCCGCATGGTATTATTTGACAGGGATGATGGCCCTGGCAGGTGCGCAACCGTTGTTGGAGAAGTTCGAAGCACGTGAAAAAGTTGCTCGCAAAAGCCCGTTTGACAGAAATGTTTAAAAAGTGTTGGGTTTCCTACAAATCCGCAAGAGCGCGCGGGATGAAATTTTGACATTTTTTTTTGAAAAACCATTGGTTTTTTTGATGTTTTTATGTTAAAATCGCTACGAACACTAAGGTTTTGGAAGGATTTCGTCTTGCGCGCGCGAATGTCCACTTTACCTTATTTGTTGCAAGGGATTCTTGAAGTTTGGTTATGTTAGAACAAGAAATGTCCACTTTGCCTTATTTTTTGCAAGGGAACACCGCCCGTAACAAAACAACCGGATCCGGACCAACCCGTTTTGCCGGAGACTTCCTCACGAAAATGATGAAAACATGCCTGCGGCCTAGGCGCGGCGAGGGGGCCGCG